GGATGCGGTTGCGCTCGTCGGCGGCATCCTGGCCCTCCTTCCGCAGGGTCTCGGCGTGGCGCCGCTTCTCGACGGCTTCGGGGGCAGGATCCGTCGCGGCGGCGGCAGCGCGTGCGGCGCGGGATTCCTTTGCGTTGCGTTCCTCTTCCAGGCGGCGGGCTTCGAGCCGGGCGCGACGCTCGGCCATGACGGCGCGTAGGGCGGCCGTGTTGCTCTCTTCTTGCGTGGGCGTCGGAGCGCCGGCGGATGAGCTGGACGACGACGTTGACGGTTGGTGAGTTTGCGGTGGAGTCTGAAGGGAAGGCGTCGTGGCGGCGGCAGAAGAGGATGGTGCTGGCGTCGTAGTTGCTGAGGGAGTGCTGAAAGCTTGGGAAACTCGCTGGGCGAAGTCTTCTCTGCTGGTGCCAGAAGTGATGTAACCCTTGAGATCGCCGTTCTTGATGATGACCAGCGTGGGCGTCTTTGGCAATGGAAATATGGCAGCGAGATGGGCTGCTTCTTCTGAACCGGCCTCTAGCCGCATCAAGATGGCTTGGTTGCTCAGGAGGTTTTTGATGGGCGCATCTTGCATGTAGTCATCCAGCCATGTTCGGCTCTCCTCTCCGTCATCTGTGAGGCACGTGAGTGTGGGGTTCAGGTGAGGGACCACGGTCGTGGGCATGGGATGCATACCTGTTACGAAGCATGCCACAGGCTTGCCCTGCAGAAGCGCGGCAGCAATACCCTCCTGAAGACTGCCCTCGAAGAACATGACGATCACTGAGGGTCGTGTGTGAGACTGGATGTCGACAACGGAGTGGTGGGGAAGCTCTCGTGATCGACGGATACGGTCGGTGCTGGGACCTCCACGAAGCTGACCCCAGGCAGGGAGTGCAATGGAGGGCGCTGGGATGGAAGAAGGGTGAAACTTCGAGAGATATGACGATTTGCTTGGATCAAGACTCCCAGCTGAGAGAACCCTCAAGTATCCGGTTGCAATCTCCCTTTAGGACATGGGCAAGAGCATGAGGCGTGAGGTAAGGTGGAAGGGCAGACCAGACAGATGCCTGCCCGGATGATGCTGTCCTGATCCATGCATCGTGACCCCTGTCAACAGCCGGGCTCCCTTCGTCGAGCTTGCCATTGGCCAAAGCATGGACAGCTCCCCACACACCCCGCCATGTGCATATGGCCAAAGCTCCATCGACAAGGTGCATTGTTGCATTGATGCATCACCCGCCAATGACGGCTTGAATCTTGGGAGCAGACGAGGTGCTCCCACTTCTCCCCCACGACATATCACACCACCACCATGGCGTCTCCAGCAGCCCCATTGCGGCTCCTCACCAGGATATCTCAAGGGCAGAGATGCCTGGCACCCAGAAGCAACTGGATCTTCAGGGCCCAGGGGCCCATGGTCCCCCGACTGGCAGCGTCCCCCTCGACTCCGGTCCGCACCTTTCGCACCACCCCGCGCCGCCTCGATGCCAACAGCAAGAAGACGGGACCCGACGCCGACAGCTCCGGGCCTGGCGAGTTCTTCTCCCTCGTTGACAATCCGGCCACCCTCGTCCGCTCCGGCGGCAACCGCTCGCGCGTCGGCCTCTTCTTCCTCGCCATCATCCCCGTGACGGCCTTCTTCCTCGGCACCTGGCAGGTCCAGCGCCTCGGGTGGAAGTCGGAGCTCGTCGCCCGCCTCGAGGACCGCCTCGTCCGCGAGCCGCTGCCGCTGCCGCCCCAGATCGACCCCGACGCCGTGGCCGAGTTTGACTACCGCCGCGTCTACGCCACCGGCCGTCTGCGGCACGACCGCGAGATGCTCATCGGGCCGCGCATGCGCGACGGCGAGCAGGGCTACATGGTCGTCACGCCGCTCGAGCGCGACGGCGACGGCAGCACCGTGCTGGTCAACAGGGGCTGGATCAGTAAGAAGATGGGCGACCAGCGCGCGAGGAGCGCCGAAGCCCTGCCGACGGGCGAGATCACCGTCGAGGGCCTGCTGCGGGAGCCGTGGAAGAAGAACATGTTCACGCCCGAGAATCGCCCGGACAAGTGGGAGTTTTATTTTCCCGACGTCAAGCAGATGGCTGCTCTGACGGGCAGCCAGCCTGTGTGGATCGAGGCGACAATGGGTACGAACTGTGGAACCCTGTCCGGCTCTTCCCTCCTGAGGTAGTGGTCTTGCTAACTCTCGCAGAACCCGAATATCTGCGCTTCATCGAGCTCCAGACGCAAGGCATCCCCATCGGCCGCGCTGCCGAGGTCAATCTGCGGAACAACCATGCGCAGTACATCTTCACCTGGTAAGTGTCCTCAAAGGAGGTCCTTCTCCCATCCCCGGTGTTCCCCTTTCCTGACTCCTCGCAGGTACGGTCTCTGCGTGGCAACCTCCATCATGCTGTACATGGTGGCGAAGAAGCCGTCATCGGACATCTCCAGGCGCGTCCGCATGAGTAAAAATTGGTAGGCTGGGTCCCCGGCGGCATCAAGCCACTTCCGCTTCGTCTTGTTCTTCGTCTCGGCCCGTCCGGCGGCGCTTCTTGGGTATCACCGGGAGCGGCATGCGTATCTCATGCACCAGCTCGGCCGGGAGATACTGCGTCGCCAACGAAAAGGTCGAGGTCGTCTCGTTGACCTGGCGTTGTCTGTACACTACTGTTAGAGAAAGGGAACTTGTCCAGAATGATTGATACCCAAAACTTGCCTCCTCATGACGAGTTCCATGTCGCTCTCGTTTATCGTCCTCCTTCCCGCGTGCGCTGCGTACGCGCCCAGATCCTCAGAGACCTGCTCGAAGAACCAGTCGGTCGCTTGCTGCAGCGCCGCCAGCGTGTCTTTGCCGATGCGGGGGTTGGATATGCCGCTGGTCCGCGCGAACTGCTCGGCAACTCGTTTGACCACGGTGGAGGGAAAGGGGGGGTAGGAGTGGCCGTGCCTCGACCTCTTCCAGCCTGCCTTTCCTGCCCGGGGCTTTCGCTGCTTGCTATCGATCTCGCTGTGAGCCGTCACCTCGGCATCCGGCAATTCCTCATTCAGTGCCTCGTCATCCGATGCTTCGCCAAACGGCTCAGGCTGGTCGG